AACGCGGACGCAAGATGACGTTTCACCGATACGCATTCGCAATTCGGCGACACGCGACGATTTGATTCAACTCTATTTTCTGCGTTTGCGGCAACTGCGTCAATCAATCATAGAAAAACAAAGAATAACGGGACGAATTTTTTTTTTATTTCTGTATGAATGTTTACAATCGTCGGTCTTAGTTTCGATTCTTCGTCCCGAAAAAAAGTAAGTTGCATTTGATATTTACTGTCATTACTGAAAATCCATGTAATCTAAACACAGATTTTCAGTAATTAGAGTAAATATTAGAACGTAGCTGCGATCGCGGATTGTGATAAAAAATGCAGAACACATCTCTATATTGGACCTCAGAAAGAACAAAAGAATTAATTGCAATTGTGAGAAGTAATATGGGATTATATGCTAAGGGTTCACGTATGTTTAAAGATAAAAAAGCAAAAGAATTAACTTGGCAATCTATTGGTGCCATGTTAGATCCCCCTTGTACAGGTAAAAATTTTCTAATTTAATCTCTTTTAATGCAAATATATTTGTTATTGTAATGAACACATTACTAATTATTAACTACACATTATTAATTTTGTTTTCTGATACAACTTCAATAAATTTTAATTTTAATTTTAACAATAAATATAGATTTATATTATTTTGGCATTTTAATTTTTACAATAACCTCAATTTACTTTTATTTAGGAGACATGGTTGCAAAACGATTTAAACATTTAAGAGACACATTTCAAAAAGAAAGAAAGAAAATTCATTTAACTATGCCTGCATCAGGAGCAGGTGCTAAAGATGAACAATATCAATCAATATGGGAATATTATAATGATTTATTGTTCCTTGCAGAACACGTTACTAGCAGAACGTACGCATGTTATATTAAAAGATAATTTAAAAAATAATAATAATAAATGTAAACAATACTAAAAAAATTATAATAATAAAAAATAAAAAATAATAATAAATATAAACAATAATAAAAAATTATAATAATAAAAAATATAAACAATAAAAAAATAATAAATATAAATAATATAGCATATTTAAATTTTCTAAAATATACGCCCAAGGATCACTGATCAAGATTGAAATTAAAGTTTAAATTTAAGTTTAAATTTATGTACAAGTTAATTGTTTAATTTATTAAAGTTTAAATTTAAAGTTAATTGTTTAAATAAATGTGTATTTAATTTTATTTATTTAATTAATTAATTTATTTATTTATTTTATTTTATTTATTTAATTAATTAATTTATTTTATTTATTTATTTAATTTGTGTATTTAAATTTATGTATAAGTCAAATAAAGAAGTTTTACTATTTATTTAAAAAATATATATTTTGTTAAACATGGAACGTAAAATAAAGCTGTTCTTTTAATACATATATTATCATATTATTCTGGATTATTCACAAGTAATCCTTTGAATGCACATCTAAATTGCCAAGGAGCTCCTTCTTCACCTAATGGAAATACAAAGTAATCTCGTAATGTATTTCTCTGCTGAACAGCATTTCTACGGGCATTATTAGTAGTGCTCGGAAACCGGGTACCCGGGTACTCGCCCGCCCGCCCGTCATTCGCTGCACACGGGTGAGAACCGATTCCTCGGGTACCCGTGTCATACGGGTACCCGTATCAGGCGGGTACTCGTATCTCACACGGGTACCCGTATCTCACACGGGTACCCGTATCACGCGAGTACCCGTATCACGCGGATACCCGTATCACACGGGTACTAATGCATATCATGCGGGTACTAATATAAAGTGAGTATTCGTATCATACGAACTCACTTTATATTAGTACCCGCATTACACGAGTATTCGCATCAGACGGCGAATGAATCACATTAAATAATTTAACTTATCCAAATAAAAACATTCGATAAAAATTATTCAAAATTTATCAAATATTTAAAATAACCTTTACTCTGA